CGCATAAAGTTGATGTTTTGCTGATAGTTATTCTTTCCTTTTTTCTTCCATCATATACGTGCGTACTATTTGGACCATAATGTAAGAGAAACGGCAAATGTTACTTGATGAGCCCAAATTATCAAAATCTTTGAAATTAAACATTTCATGGTATAATTGCTCCCTGCTTCGATGCATAGGTAGAAATCAATGGTAAAGTTTTGAATCCTGGCGATGCTGTAGACTTTGTTGACACTTTAGAAAAACCGAATAAGATAGAATGGAAACATGAAAATGGAACTTTTTACTCATTAATCATGACAGGTAATGATCAAAGTTACATTTAATTTTCTTCTAATTTTCCTTTTTTTAAAAATTTAATTTTCTTTCATAGGAAAAGATGTAGTTGAGTTAGATCTAAAAACATGTTGATCCATGTATTGATACTTTGTCAACATTTCATTCAGAGTGGTTTCAAATGATGAAACCAATAGGTATATCCAAAAAAGATGCGCAGTATACTCTCTGATATACGAAAAGTGTCCTTAGAGTGATATGTTTTTCGTTCTTTCTGAGAAAAGTTTGATGACTACCCACGTCACATGTGGACACATTGACTGAAAAGCTCAAGTAAAGTTTTTAATAGGGAGGCTATCCTCTTTTAATTATTTTAAAAGAAATCATGTAGTACACGTATTCCGTTTCTTTTTGAATTAATTATGTTCAGAATAAACATTGGCTTCGTATGCGGTAGTCAATTCCTGAAACCTTACAACATAAACTCAATACAATTAAACCGTCATACGAACGCTCTTCTGTTTGCCCGTAATTAAATCGGGATTAAATCTAGAAAGCATCGGTAGTAAGCTAATGCACTAACAACTCGCAAAGCACAACCTCTGAGCATTGGGAGGAAAACAAGAGTACAAATGGACGGCGTGAGTCCGCAATCGCATATATTGTTTGCCGTGCCTGAAAATCTCCTGTAAATGTTATTTTTTGAAAGGAGAGCAAATTGACATTATACCTTGAAGTTCATGCAGAATTTTCTTTGCTCCAAACACAGTGCGGTCGCGGCCGGTCGGCGCACAGAGCATGTTAGCGCCTACAAGACTGCATGAATACTTCACGCATTGCGCCCAGCACAGTGCGGTCGCTGGTCTGCGTGAAACGTATATCGACGACGTGTGTCCGCAATCACATATCTCGTTTTGCGATGTCTGAAAATCTCCGCCTCTATTTTATTTTTTTAAAGAAGAACAAATCGACATCATTCCTTCAAATTTTTGCAGAATTTTCTTAGCACAGAGAAGAAAAATTACGGCAAGTTTGAAAAATTGCTGTTGGGTAGTTTTCCGTTTAAAAAATAAAGTATAACAGGAAGTCCTCGACGTCGCAAACCGAGTTATGTAATTGCCGACTTACACCGTCGATATGTTCCGCAGAACATTTTGTATCATGCCCCGATTTCACAGAGTAACCTACGGTTTGGGTTGATTGAACACAAAATTGTGTTGAGCAACCAAGTCCTTTGGGTTGATCTAACATGAAAAAGTAACTCAAAGTAACACAGAGTAACACCAAACACGTACAGACATTTTTGGCTGTGTATTATCATAGTGGATTACATTGTGCAGTATAGTGTAGTCATTGCTGCTATTATAGCTGATCAATGCCAATTTAAACTCGTTGCTTCGTTTTAACATTGCACACTACTGGCTAAATGAAAAAATTAAACACTAAGAAGTGGCCCGAACTGTATGTAACAAGGTGGAGAAATGGTGCTGGGTCCACACCATTTCGCTAGGCACCATTTGGCTAAATTAGGCAGTTAAAGACGACATTCAATGGTCGTTGCTGACATGTTCTACGTTTTGGTTACTAGCCAAAACATTAGCACGCATTGCGACCCTTCTCAAACTTACTGTTCATTGCAGGACTTGATGTACCAACTCAAGAGGATCCGCATGATCGGGAAAGCCAGCATTGGGTTGTAGGCAACATACCAGGCAATAATATAACTGCAGGCGACGTTTTGTTCCCGTATGAACCGGCAGGAGTGGAGTATAATGAAGGTATGATGCATCACACTTTTTTGTAACGTATTTCCGTTGCAAATTATTGTGGCCAAAAAACGCAAGAATAACAGAAACAGTTCTTTTAATCTCGATATTACTGAGATTATTTGTAAGATTTATACATATCTACGGTGAATAAACTACCAGACCACGAATCTCGATTCGCAACGTTGCAACACAGGCTGGATCGCAATCGATCCGGACCTATTAGAATATACCATAACTTAATCATGAGCGTATTCAAATGGGCGCGGGCTCTGTAGCCCAAAAGTAGCCCTGGCATCGGAATCGGTCCAAAATCGGAATGTGCCCATAACAGATACAAGTAATTCTAACTTATCAGTTTTCATCAGCAAAAAACTTCGAAAAACGTTGTGGGATAATGTCAGACTTAAGGATATCGAATATCTACCGCTATGAGAGACGTTAATGGAGAATTTGCACACAAAAATTGTATTACTTCATCTGAGAGTGCGTAATGAGCTGAGATAATAGTATTTTTCATGGTTCTTTTCTGACATGGAAAATTGAAGAAAAATAGATTTAAAAGTGAGAAAATGTGGCGCCTTATGACGTCATCTGGCGGCATTTTCCATTTAAACACATTCATTTTAGTAGATTAGGTTATTTTGTCATATTTTCTTCAATAAGTAATTGTCCAATTTAGAAACCAAGAATATCCTCGTATTCAGTTTTCCTATAGCAGTACCTATCATTTTTAAAGATGAAATTCACAAAATTTCAGACACCTGCAAATTCTCAATTGTGAGAATCCCTGTGAAGTTAAACAATTTAAACTTTTTTTTACTTTTTCCTATTGTTTGCAGGCATTCACAGAGTAGTATTTCTGGTCTATAAGCAAGCTCTCCCGCTCAAATTTACTGATAGGGTATCGGAGATAAGGTTAGTTTAGTAATAATTGAATTACTTAATTTTTAAATTGCCAATTAAAATGAACCACCTCTTCTCTTCACCAAAAATATTATCGACGGGGAGGCACATCAGGCCAGTTCAACCTAAAGAATTGTGTAAAGCAGGGGATTAGGATTGCTCATGCATGACATCTGTCATGCCTATAATCCCCATGTCTTTTAACAAATAGATGCGCAAACCGACCCGAGGCTTGCTAACAACGCGATAGACAGAATATTTTTCCGGATGATGCGTGATTATTTACAATGCTTAAACTTCGATTAAGTTGAAGTGACTTCAGTAAGTTTCATGGCCTGCTTTGGCAAACTACTTAAATAATATTTATGCAAGTGCAAGCTGTAAATAATTAAACAAGCATAATTGCGTGGTCATGTATACTTGCTTGTTGCTGAGGTTGAGGAGTATGAAGTGACAGAGGCCAGAGCCTATTAACTGAAAATAGAAAGTAAAATTAATCCATATTTTACCGCAGAAAATAATCCGAACAACTAGCCACTGTCATTTTGGTCGCCTGTATTTGACAAAGCACCAAATTCTAGAATGTGAAAAAATGTGATATTTTTGTTCAGCATCTTCCGTATGAAAATTCGTTTTAAGTTTAGGTTTACAAAATCTAGTCGCTCTTCTCCAATTTTTAAAAAAATTGCTTGTTTTTGTTTGTTCAATTTTTTAGCGAGGGAAGCATATTTAGGTCCAACTTTTCAACGGCGAAGTTCTCAGAAAAGTATAAACTTGGTCTCCCTATTGCGATCAACTTTTATGAGTTTGACATGGAACATTAAAATGACAGTGACCCGAAAGCAGTTGTTGAAATCCGTTAGTCAGCCATCAGCATCAGCAGCTATCGACAGTCATCGAAAATCGTCGGCAGATTTGGGTGTCAAAATTACATATTTGGGTAGGCATTATTCAATATCTGTTGGGCCTACAGTAAACTTTTTATCTCACTGTACATTTCAACTTTTTCAATGCCAATTCCGAAAGGATAATATTGAAAGTTAAGATCAAACGCACGACAAATAGGTTTACAATTTATTGCTACTGTCTGTTTTTCGGCCATTTACACATATCGAGTAGTCAGAGATAATGACGTGATATATTTTTATAGACTGGAAGGTAAAAATCCTCTTCTTGGATGTTCTCAGTCAAATTGGCGGACTTCTCTAACATTGAATGATTATGTAAGCGACGAAAAACGTGTGAAAGAGGAAGAATGAATCGATTGAAGTAGAAAGAAAATTGGTTTATTTTTCTCACTTATTTGGGGCAGCACAATCTTAAATCGCACAATTTCAATTTTCGTAGATATCTGGAGGAATGCATAAACTAATAACTAAATTTTTATGAGTATGCTTGAGTTTTCTAACGCTTCCCGCTTCAGAAATTCTTACAAAATGAAATTGACTCTACGCAAGTAAGAAATTCTCAATTTTGCTTTTGTAGAAAAAGGAAACATAAAAAAAATTGGAAATGCAATTGGCGCAACTTGACCAAAACTGATAAAATTTCTAGGATAAATCGTAATAAACTGTATGGGATTTTAAAATTAGTTCACGAAATCACTCAGTAGTGGTTAGGGTTGAATTGACACAGTAAATTACGCCAATGAACATTTTTTCGTTTTGTATAAAAAAGAAAAGCAAAAATAAGTCTAAATTTTGAATTTTTAGACCTTGCATGTGCAAATGAATTTACGTCGTGACTCTAGGTGCTTGCTTTTATCAAAATCCTCTTCTTTTTTTTGTCTAATTGGACGTATTTATGCTAAAAAGAACTATGTGCATAGGGATTGCGTGTGACATAGTTCTGTTTAGCATAAATACGCCCAATTTCAATGGAGCGTAAAAGTTAAGAATATTTGTAATTAACGAGTAAGTCTATAATTTGTCAAAAAAAATAATGATCATTATCTTAAAAGATGTCGAGTGAGGCAGGCGTAGTCAAAGTACTTTGAAATGCACACTAAAAGTAAAAAAAAAAAAAAAATAAATAAATAAAAGTAACAAAAACTATTATTTTTTTTTAATTTATTTTACAATCAGATATATTCCTTAAGATTATTCAAGTGCAAAAGTTATTCTACGGCCTAAAACTCTTGGGGAGAAGAAATAAAAATCATGGTTTAAGTCAACATTTCCTAGCTTTCCAATGGATGAATTACAAAGCTCAGGAATTAGAGCACTCAGCGTATTAACAGGAAAGTTAGCGTTAGATTTACATTGATACACACAGCATCAGTAAGAGTGGATTAAAAAAATAAAACGTTACACAAAGTCAATTCACATTTGAAGTTTTCACGTTACGAAATATTGATATTATACGAAAACGACTTTAAAGATTAAAACAACCACCCGAAATACACTCAAATAATGTAAAGTGACCATGATACATATGTGTTTAAAATGGCAAGAAAATAAAATCACTATATGTTATTGTATTCATACTTCAAGTTTCACTAAATTTTATTTTAATAACTTTGTTTTTTTTTCCTTTTTAACTTCATCCCCATTTTACCGTTCGTCTCTCCGTTGTCTTAAATAAAGTTTTGGAACATTACTTCTTCCTGCTTCAGTTGTAAGGACTAAGGAATTCACTGTTTTGTTAAAGTTACAAAATCAATTCTTACTTAAACTCGTTCATCTAGGATTCGGTCTCTTCATCCGGAGAACCACAGTCTATTTGAAGATAGTTGGCCGCCACTATGCTTAGATTGTGTTTGGCCGAGAACACTTGTGTTGAAAAATAACTCCTTAAAACTCTGAAAAAATAAATAACTAAATAAGTAAATCAGGTTATTGAATGTAGAGGATATTACATTCAAGCCTTTGATGGGAACCAATTTCGTCTCATAATATATTGCATTGATTTAATTTTAATTTTCTTGAAGTAAAATTATGAGTGTTGATAAGTATTGTACATTAATATTCAGATGCCCAACCCGGGTCAAATTTACCTGAGGCTTGCCAAAAACACTTCCGCAGATTGTATGGGGGCTTTACGAGCTTTAGATATAGGTAAAAAAATACACCATAAAAAAATAATTAAACATCAAATTGAAAAAGAAGAATAAAATCGAGTCAGAGAAATGATCTGACAACCACTCCTAGAAATCCCAGGCCGAGTCAAATTGACACTAAAACAAGTATGGGCATCATATTGAAAAAAAGGAAAAAATCGAGAATCAAAACAGCGAAAGGTATTGGAGACGTATTTGGGTCTCGTTTTTTTAAATTTTCTCCCATAAATCAGATCGACACCTCATTATCAGCACAGAGGAATGAATTGCGAGTTTGCGCCTCGGGCCATTGCGCCTTCAATTTTCCAGATGCAACACGTACATCCATCAAGCACTAATAGTCGTATTTCTGCGCCGTCATTAACGCACGTCATTTACCTTGTGTGTTCCCAAATTATGTTTAAAAAATTATGAAAGACAATCTCTCAAGAATTAGCTAAAATATACAATCTCAAAGAATGAGTTGACCCTCTTTGATTCATTTCTACTGTATCTGTTATACGAATGAATACATTTGCTGCTTTTTGAGAGGTCAAAGAACTTGTCAATTTTTTTCAAAGAGGATGTTAATTACAATGTACCAAATATTCTTCATTTGAGATCAACTATACCGAACTAATTGAAAAATGCAAAATGACATTCCTCGAGAGCAGTCTCGGATTCATTATTTAATTTGAGACCAAAGTTTTAAAATTATCCTTGAAACTTCCTCGACTTGAAATATCTTCTCAAGAGTTTTTCGTGTCCATTTAACTGCCGAAACTTTAAGAAGATCTCAAATCAGAGAGGTTTCAAGTAGCGTCTTATTATTCGAGCAAAGACTTCTGTGGCTTGAGGTTGATTCTGATTGGAGCCAGGGAATAATTTACTATCACCTATTCTAACATTATTCTGACCATGATTTAAATATTGATTTTTACAGTTATCAAGAAAATCAGAGACTCGCCTTTTCCGTCTTGTGTGCGCTGAGAAAGATAACTTTTTCGGTTGCTTGAAAACTAAAAATACCATCCGATGAAGACCTGAAATTTTAAAAGTTTGGAAGTATGAACAAAACTACACTCTTTCTACGACGAAAGTCAAATCGTTAAAGTTTTGTTTAGCCAATCTTGAGAGTTTTTACGTCATCATTTTTACGAAATATACTTTTTTCATTGGTACCAATATTTCCATTTTTATTAGGTATTTTGATGTGAAATTCTTATTTTAACCTGGCCGGCTAATTATCTATTTGTTTATCAATATACGATTCCGACGGGCTTACCTGTGTTACGAACAAACCCTGGGGCTCTGTACTCGGTAAGAGTTAGTCCTTCCTGCCACTCATTTTTCCGTATATTTCCTACAATCCAGTGCTGCCATTCTCTCAGATTCGGTGATGCCCTTGATGGAGCGTCAGGACCTAGAACAATGTCAAAGGTATTCTACAATCTGTCGCCTCTCTGACGTGAACGCATATCACATTTCCAACCTGAGCCCTTTTCTCCGTACAACTCTATACTTTTTGGGGCTCATATGGAAATAGAGGATTGCCTTCTTTTACAGAGAGGCAACGAATGGGTCAGATATGCTGGTTACAGAATCGGGCTTTAATTCTTGATTCTTGTAGGTTCGCTAAAAATAATAAGATCTGTCTGAACAGCAACTTTCTACGTTCAATATTAACCGAGATATCTCGTTTTGAAAAATTTGATTTAAGACGTCACTCACCACGGAAGTGACACCCTTGGTTTCTTCCACCTTACTTTCATCAATCGGTGAGACACCCATTTGCACTGGTTACCCAACGTGAAACTCTGATGAAAGCAATACGGAAGAAACCAAGAGTGTCACTGCCGCGGTGGATGACTTTATTAACCGAATTTTGCGATATCTCGGTGAATGTTGAACTTAGAAAGTCGCTTGCTGCTATGTTTATGTTTATGTTGTTTATGTTTTATTTCCACTAGGAAAATTTAATTATGTTTTGTTTCCACTAGGAGAATTTAAAGAGCTGCATTCCAGCCTTTATCACCCTTTTTTTCCTCATATTTTGAGTCTAAATCATCTTTATTTAAAACTATACACCCTCTCATTGTGACTGCTCTGAGAATAATTCAAAAATATAGATAATTCAAATTTAATATAGAAGCCCTCCATAGCACTCGCACTAATAAATCAGTTGGAGGCCTAATACACAATAAATTCACTCTCAGGCGTATCCTAGAGGGTATGGATGGCAATCAGGTTTCTGCACTCTCAAATGGGGTGTTTGGGTTAATAGACATTTAAAGTAATTTCCTCCCTTTGTAACTCGATATGTGACAGCACTACGGTGCTTCAATTCCCCATTTATGTAGCTTTACGGCTTGTCAATCCGTTTCTTCATGTGCGAACATTCATAGCATAGATCACAGGATCCCAACGAAGTAACTGAATATGGAAATTTCCTCCACTAATTAGCTTATGAGGGCATAGATATTAAAAAATATAAAACAGACTTACTTGTCAAAATTAAGCTATAATAAGTATTATTCTCATATGGCCAGTTGATCGACGCGGGCGGGGATTGTAGTTTATCCGCCTTTATGATTGTTCCAAAATTGACGTAATTCTTCAAGACAAACCATTTCAAGTAGATGACCTATTATGAAAGGAAAATGAGAATTATCTCAGAATAATATAAACAAAATGAATTCAATCGCATTCTTCCCGCATTAAAATCGAGTTTTAAGTGAGTTTTTATGCTTCCTGATCTCACCTCCTAATTTATCAAATATACATTACCCCAGGTCAGTGGGGTACATTTGCGTCAGGCTTGCTTTTAAAATTAACAACCTCGAACGGCGCACTATCGATTCAACTAAAAAGAGCGAACAAAAATTAAAACGGAGAAGGTTTCATGTATCTACCTACCCACTAAAGGAAAGCTAAGAAAACGTTCCATTCATCGCTAACTTTATTTTAAAACAAGGTCATCTCTTTATTTCCATTCTGAGAATCTTGAAACCGTTTCTTCGCAAAATTAAGGCAATGAAGGAAAATTAAGGAATTAAGGCACGCTCCTTAAAACTTAGGTAAAAATTGATCTGAATGCTAAAGTAGCGTCGGATGAGCAATCATCTAATGTGAAATTAAATTCTTCCCATGCCATGTGTGAATTATAATTTGCACTATTCACCGCAAGATTGACGTGCAAATCCTGCGCGCTGTAATTTAAAACGAGAAATAACCATTCACCTGCACCACATTTTGAGGGGGCTGAACTATAACATCGGGAATTATTTCTGATTTTACTAATTCCTCCCGTATTTGCTCTGGAGTCAGTTCCACAGCAGCGAGAATTGATTTAAAAACGAGGAATAAAGTCACCAGAAGAGGATACATTAGATGTATAGTAATTGTAGGCCAATTAATCCGCCGTCGTACACTCATCTTTTGAGTATTTATGTTTTATCCGTCATCACATAATATCACATAATTAGAATACATTTCCAACCGAAACTACACAAACGTCGCATCGTTTCATTACTATTATTTGGAAACAAATCAACACTTTACACGTTCAAATGTGACACCTTGTTGAAACCATTGTGTCGAATTATTGTGTCCGATTATGTGAAGATGCGCTTGCATGATAAAGCGGGTCATAATAAAAAAGTATGACTATCAATTCCTCCATCTAAACCAGGTTAGAAACGTACGCTCCCGCACACACACATCTATAAATCTACTGTATGTTTAGCTAAAGTTCTCGGTTAGAGAGATTTACTATGATAAAAATCGCGGTCAGGTCATGAAAAAGAAGAAAAAAACTCTGAAAATAGTCTTTTCTTCGTCAGTGATTTTACAAATAAAACCTCAAAACGGCTCTCATCACGGAGGGAGTGAAGGAGAATTTTAAAGCATATGAGTTTTATTTTTCTTCAGGTAAAAAAAATACGAGCAAATTAATCGATGCTTTTGGGAAATAAACAGAGTCAGGATAAAATCAAAATCAACAATAAAGTCAAAGATCAAAATTTTAAAATTAATGATTTCGAAAAATCTCAAATATATTTCGCTTTTTTGGAGAATCAAACATGCGTTGGTCTCTCATCGTTGGGAAAGGTATCTTACAAAAAGCATGTTCTTATTTTTCTAATGTTTATTCTTATAGTCATATTCGAACAATCCATACGCGTCTTTTTGCGATAATGATAATGACAGTGAAAAAAATCCAGCTTTACTATGAAAAAATGAAAAAAACACTCCCTTCTAATTTTCACTATAAAAAAACCAAAATAACTATCCTAATAGCTACGATGTAGGATCAGGGACTGTGGTTTTTTTCCGGTAAAAACAAAAAAAAAAACGGAAAATAGGACTAAATATAATGTGGCGACGAAATTTCCCGTGGTTTCAATGAAAATCGTTCGAAAAATACTTGAAAATTTGTCAGCAAATATGTGCGTAAGTTTTAAAATATATTGATTGAAATTAAAGCATTAACTGTGGTTTGCAACGTTGCAATCCAGGCAAATCAGCTTCTTTTCGGGTGGAACGATCGATATTTGAGTTCGTTTACGGCAGGCGTGACATACAACTATTTGACCACGGGCGTAAGCATGTTGCTGATCCGCCGGATTGAAGGCGCGTCAAACTGCGAAGATCTCTTCACTGCCCGGCCGACCCTCGCTGGCGGGACGAACGCTAAAATCGCTGCGAAACTGAGAAGATGCGCCATTATTTGTGACTCCCTTCTAATTTTCACTATAAATAACCAAAATAAATATCCTAACAGCTACGATGTAGAATCAGGGACCGTGGTTTTTTCCCGGTAAAAACAAAAAAAGGAAAATACTACTAAAAATAAAAATGAGACGAAATTTCCCGTGATTTCAATTAAAATCGCTCGAAAAATGCTTGAAAATTTGTCAGCAAATCTCTGCGTATCTTTTCAAAAATGCATAAGCATTAATTAAAGCAGTTGAAGAAAACTCTGATATGCAATGAAAGCACATGCACACATGTTAGAACTTGCATCTAGACCAGTGCCAACGTGATCCACAAAGTTGCGATCAACTGCACGACTCTCGGAACAACAGTTCAGACAAGGAAAAAAATACTCAAAAATCCTGTAGGGTTATTTTTCACACGGCTCCGGAAAATTGCTGTAACTCAGCGAAATTTTGACCAAATTAGCTAATTTTGGGCTCGTTGGATAGTTAAAGATATGAGCTACGACCTCTTACAAACCGCGTTTCAATATCTATTATTGTTTCTGAAATACAGACTTACTCTCAGTTGTTTTGAGACAGCCTATGTATAATGTGGCGACAAAATTTCCCGTGGTTTCAATTAAAAACGTTCGAAAAATGCTTAAAAATTTGTCAGCAAATATGTGCGTATGTTTTAAAAAACATTGATTGAAATTAAAGCATTTAACTGTGGTTTGCAACGTTACAATCCAGGTAAATAAGCTCCTATTTTCGTGGAACCATCGACATTTGAGTTCGTTTACGGCAGGCGTGACATACAACTATTTGACCTCGGGTGTAAGCATGTTGCAGCTCCGCCGGATTGAAGGCGCGTCAAACTGCGAAGATCTCCTCACAGCCCTGCCGACCCTCGCTGCCGGGACGAACGCTAAAATCGCTGCGACACTTAAACGACGCGTTATTACTTATGACTCCCTTCTAATCCTCATTAAAAACCAAAGTAACTATCCTGATAGCTACGATTTAGAATCAGGGACCGTGGTTTTTTTTCGGTAAAAACGAAAAAAGGAAAATAGGACTAAAAATAATGTGGCGACGTTTACCTCATATTCCCATTTTTAATGGCAGGAATAAGTAGATAAGCGTAATAGAGGGGGTTGCTTTCCTTGAACATCGAAAATAGCCGTGTTTCCTATCCTTCCGTTGACATGGAGATGCGAGAGACATTCTCAGTTCCTCTTTTTAAATGTACACGTGAGCAGTATACTCGATGAAAAGAAAAATGGCGGAATAACACGTATGTAACTCATGCAATAAAGCTATTCGTATCATTGAGATTTGGATCCATGTGGATTGCTTCACATTTTTACAAAGTATCGTGACAGTATGTTTAAAGGAAACAGCAACAATAGAACAATATATTTCTAACCGTCCAGAACTTGGCAATGATGTAATGAAGGAAAACGTTAATGCTCTTTGCCTGATTATTTTTTTTCTTTTGGTCGGGGATACTATCGAGCGCCTTTGCTTGCCCCTTTATGGAGCGTAGGTTTTAGGAGTGCCAAATATTGGCTTTTCGGTCTCAAGCAAAGTAATGAATTGCAAATAAAATTAATTTGGTGATAACTGATCTGTTTAAACTTTTATTAATACTTGATTGAAAATTATGAATTGAGGTACAAAGTGAAAGAGAAAAAAACCTATTTAAATTTTGATTACACATTTCGAAAACTTTCAGTGGCATTGAACGATGCATGTCTGACCTCAGCCGAAGAGAATTCAGTTTGATCTTCGAAAATTTTATCCGTCCCTTCGACATGGAAGAAGTTTGCGGCGGTAGGCGGTCCAAAATTATGTGCCTTTGCGAATTCACCAATACAGAACAGTGTTGGTAGATTTGGTAGTGGCATTCTGAAATAAACATCGATCGCACAAGCACGATTAATAGGACTTCGTTTCGCAATTGAGAACTAAAATTTCTGGCTCATCAGTAAGAAAAAAGTATGTGCATATGGAAACTAATGGTGCACATGCTTATTCTAACCCGAATCAATGATATTAGTTCCAAATTGCAAAATGTGGTCCAATAGGTAATGGGTATAGTAGAAATGCCAAACTTTTACATATTAAAATGGAGGCCGGAATGAAAACTTCCGACTAAGTAAAAAATTGTCAAAAGATAAAATACTGGAAAAAAATTCGAAAAAATTTATGGTGGAGCATTTTGGACTTAAAAGTCTAGACGACGCTCTGAGCTCAGCTGCTCCCCATTAGATTTGCCTTTAAGCGGGAAAAATCCCTTTGAATGAGTAGACGTAGAGTCCTTGAGTCATAGTAAGAACGGGAAACGGTCCATCGGTTGTTACAGAAACAAAAATAATTTTTTGCATCAGAATAATTTTGATTATATTTTCATTGAATATCGCATTTCCTTCAATGTAAATATCAGTTTCATTAGTGTTGCTTATGCTCTCGTGACTATGCTGAGATCCTGGTTGTCAAAGAAAAAAAAATCCACACAATGTTATCGGTTCATGTGTGCCATTGCACCATCTCATAACTTCATTCAGCAAACCTAATAATAATAAAAGAGAGAGACGGGGATAGGGGAAGGGTAAATGATGGAGGGGAGGATGGGAATAGGAGAAGGGCCAGAGAGAGTAACAAATAGTATCCATACCTAGTTTTAATATTTGCGTTTGGTACAGGAATGGACTCATTATTCGGTTGCTTGTACACTAAGAAAAGGAGCCTATACAGACCTACAGACAAAGTTTAAGCGATCAAAATTCAAGCTCTTTCAAATGCGGAAAACATGTTAAAATGAAAGTAAGTCAGAGGACAGAATATTGAAAATATTGCTATAGGTGCATTTTACTACGGATTTAAGATGAAACATTATTCATCAAGAGAGTTATGCGCTCCTTCACTCAGTTGCATCGAAATTTCAGTTTTACCATCATGAGTTACACAATCATGGAGGAGTTTTTGTCGTTGCATGGAAGATTAAATGTAAATTCATTAATGTAATGTGATTATATGTGTTTGTGCTAAACGATAAAAACGTGGCACTTCCCACAAACCGAATAAAAAAATCAAATTCGAATAAGAAACTCGCCATCAAACAAAAAGGTGACATCAAAAACTAACAACGAATATGATTGAAAAGATTTACCTTCGAGACGGTATAAATCTTCATCAATAGAATTATACTCTGTATGAACATCACCATCATTTACTCGGTTCCCCGGAATATTCACTACAAGCCAGTGATTCCATCCGCGAGTCAACAGGTCCATCGCACCGAGGTCTGGACCTACCAAAGCAAGACAATAATATTTTTAAAATCTAAGAATTGAACCCACACAACCGAAAATTATCATCTTTGATTCTAAGGTTATAGAATCAACTGGTATTCTCGTGTAAGAATAAATTCGAGACGAAATTCAATGTCTCAGATTTGACGTTTTGATTTTTGACGTCAACATTCATAACGCAATTTAATGGATTCATATTGAAGGAATTGATTTTGGTGCTCACGCATACCAAATAACGAGAGTGTGTATAAAGCATTTTTACAAAGCTGGCCATGTGATGTTCGTTGGTTTGTTTTGCACCTTTGAGAGAGGGAAGATCGTTCCAAAATTCACCGGAGTGTGTCCATACCAGACCTGGAAAAGGATACCATTCCTCAATACAATTTTATAAAGGCAAATTTGAAATTCTGGACATAAGAATGTAAGGCACGATAAGAGTTGCTCTTTCAGTCGAGCCACATTTGGTCGAGTAAAAAATTCCAAGGTATCAATGTTCTATTTTCATGTCTAGTCCATTTGATTTCACCCTGAAAATTATAATTATCGTGCTCTATAATTTAAAATCATATTAGTAATGCATAACGCATAACGCCTGAGGTTCGAAGCGCTTTGGGGGTGGGACTGCGAAAGCGCTCAAGAGGCGCAGCCTCCTAGTTTATTGTATTTTCTTAATTGTTGCTCGAGATGATAATTATAAACTTCTCAAAAAGTTTGAGCGTAATTTTTAGCAACCTTCCTTCAGATGGTGCGTACCTCAAAACATGAAAGTAGAAGAGAGAGTATTATTTTCAAAGTTTAGTTAGTGCATAGTTATTTACCCTTAAAAATCCAGATATAAGGAAATCATCCCAAGAAAAGACATATCTATTCTTTCAAATTCCCATAAGCCTACGATTGAAACACAATAGCTCATGTCATTCCAATAAATCTATAGCTTGAAATTTATACGAAATATTCTGCCAGTAGAGAAGAAAGACCGAGCAGGTTTTTAAGATATTAAACTGACCAGTTTTCCAAAGAGAAAATAAAGTATAACAGGAAGTCTGCGGCATCACAAACAGAGATACATGGTTTTGCTCTTTAACCATCGATATACCGTTCAATTACTTTGAGGTACAACAAATTCATACATTTGAATCAATTAATTTACCTCTATCGCCTCCTTTGGGGCAACTGGTATAACGTCGGGAACGATAAAGTTGCCACGGAGTAGGTCTGGCACGGTGTTGTTAAATTTTAACTCCGAATCATCCTCTGCTCGTGAGGAAGCTTCTGGATTTTTAAGGGTAAATAACTATGCACTAACTAAACTTTGAAAATAATACTCTCTCTTCTACTTTCATGTTTTGAGGTACGCACCATCTGAAGGAAGGTTGCTAAAAATTACGCTCAAACTTTTTGAGAAGTTTATAATTATCATCTCGAGCAACAATTAAGAAAATACAATAAACTAGGAGGCTGCGCCTCTTGAGCGCTTTCGCAGTCCCACCCCCAAAGCGCTTCGAACCTCAGGCGTTATGCGTTATGCATTACTAATATGATTTTAAATTATAGAGCACGATAATTATAATTTTCAGGGTGAAATCAAATGGACTAGACATGAAAATAGAACATTGATACCTTGGAATTTTTTACTCGACCAAATGTGGCTCGACTGAAAGAGCAACTCTTATCGTGCCTTACATTCTTATGTCCAGAATTTCAAATTTGCCTTTATAAAATTGTATTGAGGAATGGTATCCTTTTCCAGGTCTGGTATGGACACACTCCGGTGAATTTTGGAACGATCTTCCCTCTCTCAAAGGTGCAAAACAAACCAACGAACATCACATGGCCAGCTTTGTAAAAATGCTTTATACACACTCTCGTTATTTGGTATGCGTGAGCACCAAAATCAATTCCTTCAATATGAATCCATTAAATTGCGTTATGAATGTTGACGTCAAAAATCAAAACGTCAAATCTGAGACATTGAATTTCGTCTCGAATTTATTCTTACACGAGAATACCAGTTGATTCTATAACCTTAGAATCAAAGATGATAATTTTCGGTTGTGTGGGTTCAATTCTTAGATTTTAAAAATATTATTGTCTTGCTTTGGTAGGTCCAGACCTCGGTGCGATGGACCTGTTGACTCGCGGATGGAATCACTGGCTTGTAGTGAATATTCCGGGGAACCGAGTAAATGATGGTGATGTTCATACAGAGTATAATTCTATTGATGAAGATTTATACCGTCTCGAAGGTAAATCTTTTCAATCATATTCGTTGTTAGTTTATGATGTCGCCTTTTTGTTTGATGGTGAGTTTCTTAATCGAATTTGATTTTGCTTGATGATGCTTGTTGAGGTACTGATTTGAACAGTAAAGTTTAAATTAATTCTTAATTTTATATACTGCTTTGATCTGAATCAAACGTAGATATTCTATCTTCTCCTCTTCCTTTTTGTAAATAATATTCTCTCCTCTACTTTCAAGTTTGAGTTGAAGCTTCTACACGAGCAGAGAATGGTTTGGAATTAAATTTTAACAACACCGTGTCAGACCTACTCCATGGCAACTTCATCGTTCCTGACGTTGTACCAGTTGCACCAAAGGAGGTGATTAAGGTAAATTCATTAATTCAAATATATGACTTTGTTCTATCTAAAAGTAATTGAACGGTACATCGACAGTTAAAGTGCGACACCATGTATCTGGGCACAACTGGGCACACAGGCTAAATTTGTTTCTTTATAGATGTAGAAAACTTCCAGAAAGTTTCAATATTGTATCTGGAAATGCACGATTGCTGTGCCAATCTGTCCCACTATTAAAGCAAGCAATTTTGTGTCCGCGGCCACATGTTCTAGGAATTCACGGGACTGAGATATAACAGAAATTTACAGCTTCCGGATGGTTAAGTTCATGAATTTCCGCCCAAACTTTTGGCGAAAAGTATTTCCGTTTGTACATAGTATTTCTGAAAAAGGAAAAATAGAAAAGTTTGTCAATAAACTGTACTTCAATTACAACGTAGGAAAAACGAAAAAAGTAGCGATGTTTCTTAAAAAAGAATGCGCAACAAAAGTATCGAGGTTTGATTTGTCAGTTGGATGATTTCAGCGCGGAAGGATACGAAAGTAAGGATGAATTGCAAAAATGCCTTGTCTGCAGCGATCAGCTCCGTCTTTGAATTATTAAACTATTCAAATTACTGGGGCCGAGCCACCCACATGCACAGATTTAGAGAAGGGAAAAAGTTGATTGATTTTTGGATTCCTCCGACCGCATGCTAAATTTTAAATGATACTTATTTCTTAGTGAAAGTGGGAGGACAATAACAGAAATCTTACCGTTTTTCTATGACGGATCCAAAATAAAATGCTAGACGATTGTTTCGATGCTTGTACAAAAGATACACCAAACGATGAGTTTCTGTTCAAAAATGAACTAAGCTCAGTGTACTCATGAGGGGATGGTACATTAATTTTTTAGGAAAATTGTCTTTCCTGTTAGGAATGAGTCTATTGCATACCATAAGCACAGCGAATTAAACAAACTTTTTGTATGCAAAATCACACAAAAATCATGTCGAGGACATTGGTAACTCTTAAAGAAAATATATTCCCTTTCACACGATTTGTGCACCGCGTGCACTTCAGAAAATCAGACTTTTAGAGAGAGCTGCAAGAAGATCTAATCGAGATAGACAAATAATAAATCCCCTGACCTGTTTCCTTCTCACTCTTCATACAGGAGAAAAAAAAAATTATGTATCCTCTTCACGTATGATTTCAGTCGTTTTAAATATTACTTTTTTCACTATTTATACGTGCTTTAGTTTTATCAGAATCATACGTATCCTTGTCATTTTAATATCTTCAGTAATTCTTGATAAAAATACAGTAAACGTAAACTCACATCCCAAAACCACCTTTACTTTAAAAATTGGCACTAAGTCTGTACCGAAAAAAAATAATTTAAAAAAAGTAAAGAAAAACTTTACATTATTGATTTTTTTTTTAATTATCAATTTTTTGAAACTTTGCCAATTGATACTAACCATCTTCATACATAGGTCTCTCTATTCCAACATAAGTTGCACGTGTTTCACCACTCGCTGTATCGTTATTCGGTATATTCCCAACAAGCCAATGAAGCCAGTACCTTTCGTCAGGTTTGTCTCTGGTGGGTACGTCTGGTCCTGTTGAAATGAAATGTATATTATTCATAATAATATGAAAACTTCCTCAAAAAATATCTTAAGTCATACCATAATCATAACAAAAATAAAACGCTTTGCTATGGACTTATGAAAAGAGTGGTGTCATTTTTGCATCTAAGTGTGCACTTGGGTGCAAAAACGATTTTTATAATTTTCCGCAATAGAGAAAAAACCCTAAATGAGAGAACTTGAAACATATTACCTACGACCATCAACGTGTACAACGTACCATTGGGTGCAGCCCACCTGATGTCCGGCTGCAAGTTGAAGGCTCTTGTGGTTAAATTATTCCCATAATCAACAATCCAGTTTCCATGACGAACCTGCCGGCAACAGTTGTATACAATTTTATTATATCATTTTGAAACATCTAGTTATAATAAACTGAAATCCCCGGCAGAAGGGTTATTCTGCATTTTCTCAAAAAATTTCAGTGGCCCTAACTAGGCTGCCGGTTCTGCATTATTATCTATATATTTAATATCCCAACAAATCCGTCAAGAGTAATTTCCCACTAGAGCTGAGGAACATGGGGGATCATGGGATCTCAGGATCATCTAAGACGTTTCCGTTTAAATTCAAAAGTGAAAACAAATCAATGGATCGATTCCTAGGTTCATGTTGACTGTCACTGTTCATGGCTGGATAAAACTATTTATGCTTTGTGGATATCCGTGTTGCATGCTTGGATGTTTAAGGCGCATCTGCTATCCTCGTTCTTAGGTACAACGTCGAATGAGCCTTTAAACGTTCCTAAACCTCGGATGAAATAAAAAAAATTTAGGGATACATTTAAATATTATTCTCTGCATGTTTCCGATAATTTTATTCGCACCTTGATCTAATGTATCTTTTATAACTTTCTCCAAAAATAGTCAACATTGGAATATTCTAACAATGTTTTTCCCTTGCATTGCATAGTCACGAGCAAACGAAGTGAATCTTAATGGCTGAATACAACTATTCATGCTCTGTGGATGTCCGTGCTGCATTCTCTGATGTTGAAGGCGCTATCTTTGCTTGCACTCGAGGTAGTGCAATCATAGTGCATTCATTCATGCTTTATGTACAAGTACACTGACCTTTAAAATAACGCCTAAAAAAACAAATATTACCTCTAATGACCCATAAGGAGCCTCATGAATTATGTCCCCTATAATGCCAGCTCCTTTCAATCTCTCAAGAAGATCGCCTGTCATCTGTCGAGGAACACCATCTGTAAGTATGAACGCCACTCCACATACAAGAAAATGTACTGCGCTACTAAGACTCTTCAACATTTTTGGAAACGAATTACTTATGAACAAATACATCATAGAGTTGAAAAAGATGAATTATTGGCTTTGTATCAACATTACGTATAATCTCATAGATGTTATCACCATCACTTGCCTCCTGTCTCCACATTTGATTCATATGATACAGTGTGTCCTTAAAGTCCGCACCCCCCCCCTCCCATCAAGAAAAGTTTCCAAATAAAGCTTTTGAAATGAACTTAGGGGTGTTAGTAGATCACTTTCCACAGAAATACATGTATTAAGGTGCTGAAAATCCTTAACATTTTCAGCATCGGGTCACCTATAAACAAGTCCACCGTAGAGTCAAGCCAACAGAATTTATGACAGACTTATGACTGAGCAGCAAAGACTGAGTGGAGAGATGCGCCGCATTCACAGTGCTTCTTGGAAAAGATTTCTTCATTGCCTCATTGAATGTGACATGTATTGAATACAAACTGCACCTCCTTTGCGATCTAGCAAGCGAATGCAAGTCAAATTTTACAGCTAATGAATTGAGCATCATGAAATCATCTATTTTTCTTTAGAACGCTTCATCCTATTAGGGTCCTACATATACATTTGAAATTAAAGAGAGTTTCTTAAGCTCATAAAAGCAAAATGAAGTTAAGAATTTGAGTTAGCTTACATGAACTTTCCGGTTTAGGTATAACAAGGTGGGATTTTCTTGAAAGATGAATAAGTCCTGGTGTACCAAAGATGTGTAGAGAGTTTTCGTGAATCTTCCCTCGTGAAATTGGCCCTCCCCCATTTTTACCGAAAATTTCAATTTATATTTTTTTCCTTCGGACCAAATAAACAAAAAAAAATCCTCATTCTCCCAAGATATTATACGTTTTCATCCAAAAATGTCATGAGCAAAAGTACATAAAATATGACGTAATCCCAGCCCCCCTATACTGCCCTCAGAAACCGTGGCAATCGCGCTCATTGATGCGTGTGGTTGGGAAGTTATGCACTTTTGCGCTATGTCCTTCAACTTTGTGAATTTTTTTTTTTCAAAGTGAGTCATCTATGAATGCAAAACATACACTAAATGCACCACTGAATAAACAGTCAAGGTGAGTCATCCTCAGGCCATAGGTCCGTTTGAGGGAGTGACAGGTAGGTCCGTGTCAGATGTCAGCAAGTAACGAATGATGCGAGAATGCGGACAAGAGGTGTTATTAATGTTGCATACGCTTGTATTGGAAGGCGACTCGTCCACCGGGAAAAGGAAATTTACCTTTTTTATCAGAAGTATCAGGATAATCATTTAATAAGGTAACCTGCTACCTACACTTTTTAAAGTACGAGTTACCTAATCTGTCATGACTTTTAAAAGTATCGTAATTAATGAAAACACGATGACTGATCTAGCTGTAAGATCAACATAAGCTTCCAGTAGCCCAGTGCATTAATGTAAGCACATTGTTCAATATGACTTTCCGCTTAAATCAAGAAAAATCTTCAAATCACATGTTTGTGAATGAATACATTATGATGTATGTATGTATGAGCCGCTTTTACGGCGCGCTAGGGCGCTCTGCGACGCCTATTCTCCACAGGAATCTGTCATGGTAGAGATCCTCCGGAAGCTGGCATCTCTCCATCTCTTCATGGATGCCCTCTACCCACCGTTTAGCTGGACGCCCTCTCCCGCGCCTCCCTGGGGGGACCCACTCCAACACCTTCTTCGGCAACCTGGTATCAGCCATTCTCTGCACATGCCCATACCATACCAATTGCTTGGTCATGATATCGTGCACAATCGTCCCCTCAACGCCCATTATCTCTCGGACACGTTCATTCCTGACACGTTCTCTCCTCGAGATTCCAGCCGATCTTCGCCAGAAATCCATCTCGGTCGCCTTGAGCATTTCTTGGGTCCGCTTCTTCAACTGCCACACTTCACTGCCATCGGTGATAATAGGCTTGACAACCGAGTTATAAATCCTCTTCTTGTTGTCTTTGGAAATCCTTTGGTCCCAAAGGATCCCATTAAGCATGGCGATGGCTTTCCTTCCTAGATACATTATGATTCCGTCTTGAAATGCTGAAGTCGAACAAGCAAATATTGAGCAGCATCAAACTAGGTATGTGATATGGTATCACGCAGAAATGAAGGATAATCATAGCTCTCTACTTGTTTCAAACTAATGACGCATTGTGAATGGAGGCATTATGCTCGCGTCATTGAATACGGAACTCAGGCGCACAATAGTCGAACTAGGTATGTGATGTAGTATCCTGTGGAAATGAAGAACAATCTTAGTTTTTCACTTTGATCAAATTGCTAAAGTTAATGAAAGTAGGCATTAAGTTCTCATCGTTGAAGCGGAAGTGAAGCGTGCATTATTAGAACCTCGAATTATGTATTTGATCCGGTATCCTGAGAAACTACTCGGTACAAATGAGAGAAATGTTTTCTCTCCTGAGCAACTAGTTAGTGCTCAGGAACGGATACATCACTTTCTTAAGCACAAACTAGTTGCCCGGGAGAGAAAACAATTCTCTCAATGCAGAGGAGAGAAATTTTTTCTCTCCTGGGCAACTAGTTTGTGCTTCGGAATTCCTCTCCTCCATTTTTCATTCATACTCTTTTTTTTCACCGAATATTTCTCCTTCTGCTGCGTTTACAGCAATTGTTCTTACGGATATGATGTGCGAGCTGATTTCAACGCATAACATACTCGACTTAGTTATCCGAAGAAAAAATAGAGTTTGACAAGTAATCTGCAACGTCGCAAACGGAGATACGTGGTCTCTCATTTTGGTCATCGGAACGTAGAAAACTGAAGGAATTTCGGCTCTTTTCGCACCGATTTTACTCGTCCGTAACAAGAAGACTCGGACGCGCTGACAACGGCGCCTTGATACAACTATACAACCTCGACGGATGTCCATATTGCGTTCAAAAAATTGAAGGCGTTTTGAATTTCAGCGCACTGACTCCAGCGCTTGATTAACGGACGCGTTGGTGACAAGATATCGCCTTGATGCCCATTCAAGCTTTACGGATGTTCGTATCACATCTCGATGGTCAGAGTACAGTATCACGTATCTACATTGCGGTGTTTCCCAATTTCCGCTCCTATTTTATTATTTCGATGGGAAGCAATCGAACGTTACAACTTAATTCGTATGCCAGATATACTCTGCTAACAGAGTTGAAAAATCACGGAGAAACCTTTTTCTTTTGACTAGCCCCTGGTAGGCGCTTTGTGTTCGCAAGTGGCATAGTCTGTCGTAGAATCGACGAAAGAGGGATTGAGAGATTCATTCAATCCAACTTCTGGAGTCCTCCAACAGGGTGCTACGTGTGTACGTTCCGCACATAAAATGAGCGTTTTTCCACGTGATCCATCGAACTCGTGGAGCTTTTCTGACCAGCAAATTGCATTCACAAAGTCGTTTCTGTGGGGACTAGCTTAGTTTCAGCCCGATCAAGAACTTCCAATTTTGACCCCGGAAATTCAGCCCATGTCAACCCCTGTCGATTTTCCCCGATTTTCGGCAGGAAAAAAATTTTGGAGATTAGTGTTGAATCCTACGCAGATCGAGCCGTAGAATCGATTGCGCGTGATCCCGAGGCTCCCAGCGGCTTCCTGAGCCAAGAAACAATTAAAAATGAGTGTTTTTGACCCTTCCTGAAAGTTCATCAAGTGCGCCTTTTTCCGCCGATCATTCACCGGACTCGCGGAGCTGTTGCAACCTGAAAATCCCACTTAACGGGTCATTTCAATGGGGACTAATTTGGTTTTCGCCCGATTGGAGAACTTGCGGAAAGTTTTTATTGATGGTTGACAGCCAGGTTTGCCCGAAGAGAGACCTATAACCTAAATAAACAAACAATCTTGCAAACTGTTATAAAACCTCTTTCTGGAACAGTTAAATTGATTCAAAGCTTTCGTTTTTGCAAAATAAAGAAAGGAAAAGGAAACAATCGCTTGAATACAAATAAAATCATACAAAGGAAAAAGTTAGTCAATCGTTTATTTATTTGGGTAGTTCTTTCCCACTCCTCTGCCTGTACAAACCTGGTCGGCAGGAACTAAGAAAAACTGCCCGGAAACGCGGAAAATTTGAAAAAGCGGGTGTAGCGCAGATTGCGCGCCAGGGTGAGGATTTCGGATTTTTCTAATGTGCCTAACGTGATTTTCGAGTAAATTTACCCTTACCGAGTGACCAGTGGGTCATTCAGCCGCGTGCTGCCAGTGCAAAACGCGCGCTGGCGCCTACAAACCTAACATTGATACTTCACGCATTGCGCAATGCGTGAAGTATCCCCGTTAGGTTTGTAGGCGCCAGCGCGCGTGTCACGTTGGTCACCCGCCGCGCTGCGGAGTGCCACGGCGCTTCAAGCAACTATTCCGCGACAGAGGTGTTGCAAAGTATCATACGAAATTGAAGGCGTTCCAACGCATCAAGTCTGACAGGCATCCTTTAGGAGTACGAGCTTTCCTCGTAAAATAAATCAAGATATTGAGGCCAGTTGAAATAATTACTGATAATTTGATTAGCTTTACTTAACTGATGACGCTGGCACAATTTGAGCTGAAGTTTGTTACATCGTTAATAAATAATACAATAACACATGTACTAACTATAATTTGTAAAAATTAACTGACTGCTGTTCAAATGCCTCGATAATGTATCTATTAATACGGCTAGTGTCTTATTTCCAGGAGAAAAGAATGATATCTCAGGAATAGACAGTAAGTGCTGACGGCATTGAGTAGTCCACACATCTGCTTAAAATAATTGTCTTTTCTTTGAAATTGTTCTCCCTGTCAATTAACTATGCAAAGCTCCAAAAATTGAAACTTTTGCTTCGTCTTTAAAGCATACAATTAAATGACTAATTGAATATGTGTCTGAATGATAATGACACTGTATTGAAATTTAACAAAATATTTCAAGGGTTTTTATTTGATATTCCTGAAACGTTTCACTTATCCAGAGAAACTCTCTCTGCAAAAGTACAGCTGTCCGATTGGTTCGGACCTTACTCACATATGCGTTTGCTTATGCACTCATTCCGACCCGAATACTTCAGACTCTGGATTTTAACAACTCGGAGAATTTATCCTGTTAAAAAAAGAGAATGCGACCTGACACCGCATGATGTGCAAAAACCAAATATTAAGAACTTCACTTTTCACTGAGATGATTGAGACTTACACGTGACTAAATTACAGGTTTCAGGAGCGGAGTTAAGAAAAATCTAAATCTTGCCGAGCGACACATTTTAATTATGGTGTTAAGTCGCCTGGCGTCCTGAACCATGTTTCAAATGTAGGTACGGGCTCATTATGGTTAATCCAGTAGTAGTTTGCAGCCACAGGTTCCAGTCCATGCTTTTTCGCAAAGTTGCGGGTAGAAAATTTCTTCCTTTTTTCATTGTATGGGCTGTTGATCGAAAAAAGACAAACGCAATTATCAGTTTTATGTGAAAAATGTGCCAAAATCTCTGGTTTAATTTATTAATTTTTTTAAATGAGATAGTGCTGCAGTGAATAAAAGAATCATTATCTATACTATAAGCTTCGAGACCTCCTATATTTGCATATCTAGGAACGCTTAGTTCCAGCGTTCTACTGGGCCGATTTTCATGATTTTTGCGGCTATCGACCGGCATATCTCTAGATGAGCCCACTGTAATCAGATTTTGAAAATAGGCTCCAGGTTTTTTTATATATATATATAAGAGTAGACGAAAGAGCTTAGCTAAGGGGGCAAAATATCCGCCAAATTTGAAATTCCCGCCATTTTTCATCGGCGAGATTTTCAAATTTGGCGGATATTGAACTAAGCGGGCGGAAAGTTGTATCTTGGTCTGTTAGTAGGGTAAGTGAATCGAAGGTATGCTCCCTTGCTACAGACTATCCAAAAGCGACGATACGCTCCGTTCAGTTTCGTTTCAGTCTTGGCGTATGGTTTGAAAGATATGCCGATTTTTTCGTTTGATTCTTATTGACCCAATCGCTCTCGGTCAGAGGGAGATTGGATAAATGAGAGTCGGGTATATGATAATTTTCTCAATTTTTTTGGTCGTTCTTTTGTCGCCGCGAGCCTTAGAGAGCGCGAAGCGCCCCGCGGGGGTTGGGCGGGAGGCATATCCCCCTAGTTCTCAACTGAAGGTTCGTCAGTTTTTTTAAGGATTTTGAATATGTTTTGGTGGAACCTACAATTATTTTCATTTTTACTGTATATAGCTGCAGCGATTTTTGTCAGACCAAAGATTGAGCAACAGGAATCCATGCAGCAGGTATGTTAAAATTCCATAGCTTGGATGATGATAGTAAACAAAATTCTATGAGTATTATTTCCATCACATTCATTACAGTTGAACGTGATGAATAACGCACGCAAACCATATGTGTATTATTCATTTTAGCTTATACACGTCCAATTAAATTCGAATTATCTACGAACTTGAACAAATATATTCTACAGAGATATCGTAGTAAGTCAAATTAGCTTTTTCTTAGTTATTCACTACTTACTTTGCATCTAATATAGCTTCCTCTTTAAACGGCATTTTATCAGGCTGAGGTTGTTTAAAAACAACGAAAAGAAATCGATGAGCATCTGCAATTAGGAGAAAATAATGAAGAAACAAAGAATTATTAGTAAAAAATTAATTGAAAAACTCCGTGTTTTGTTCTATATTTCTTCTGCAAATGAGCAAATGAACCGGAAAGTTAATCTTGGTGCTGCGTACACGAAATAATGAAGTTGGAATACCCTACATAGTGAAAAATTAT